CTCCATCTACTTGGCCGCTGTACCATAAGGTACATGCCATATTAGGCAGTTTTAAAATCCACAACGTCGAAACATTGATGGATGAAACGGGACACGAAGATAACGGTATGGTAATTATAATATTTTTCTTGAATTTATAATAAGTAAAGTAATATTGTAGTTTCAAACATTACTCCATTGGCCGAGCCAGCAGTTTTGGAATCAAATGAAGGCACAAGTTTTTATCCATTGTTCGAGTCAGTTGATTTTCTTTATGACGCAGACGCAGCTTCTCCACTGCAGCAACTTAACTCTTCTACAGATACAAATTCCACTGCTGCGGTTGAAACAATATCTTTTGGAGCATCTGCAAAGAGAAGAAAAACAGACAGCATTTTACAGGAGTTACAATTAATGAGGGAGGAAGATAAGAGAAATGAGAGTAACTGGCAGCGTATTGAAGAGCGGCGAAACGATTTGCTGGAGAGATTGGTCAATAACTGTGAAAACTACCAGCAATCTTTATTAGAAGTTTTAAATAAAAAATAATAATATGTAAATAATTATAGTATAGTAAGCATAGCACTGCTTGCATACCGTATTATGTAATATAAATATTTTTATATTAGTATTAAGTATAATAATAAATCATATTAAGTACAGTATAGTAAGTAATATTAATTTAGTAATATTAAGGATAAGCAGTAATTAGTAATATTAATAAATAAAGATTACCTAAAAATGTAGCAATGGCTGATCTTATATTTTCGAATGTTGGATCGTTGTCAGTTAATATAGCGGTCCATTCTGGTTGGGGTTTGACGTTATTGGCTTCCCATTCCTTTAATTGATTTTTCCAATTTCGGTTAATTTTGTCACTTCTCTCATTTAAAAAGTTGTGTAGGACACAAGCACTTTTTATAATTAAGTTAACATTATCAATGTGGTTGTCTAGTCCCTTTCCAATTCTGAATCTTCTTCTGAATCTTGCTTTGAGGTGCCCAAAAGCGTTCTCCACTACCCTTCTGCACTTTGAAAAAACATAATTGAAATGCTTTTCTGTTGGACTAGCAAACTCACTAAAGGGATAGGGTTTCATCAAAATAGAAAAGCAGAATGCAGAATTTCCCAACAGTAGTGGAGGCATGCACACGCCATTTATTTCAACACAAAATTCTTTCATCATCGGTTTCATATGATGTTGTTTCAATTTAGATTTCTTAAATATTTGAGAATCGTTACAACGACCAGGGTAACCAACGTTAATATACATAAAGCGGCATCTTTAATATAGAAGAAGTTATTTAGTGAAGAAATTATTTAGGTTTCAATTCATAAATTGTAAATCACTACCTATAGTCTACAGCTGCCATAAATACTACAGAATACCAACCCTTGTAGTTGTAATAATCAATGGCTTCTGACTTTCGAGGACGCACTTCAATATGACAACCGTCTGAAACAAAAAATTCACTTATTCACTTATTTCCACATTGGATATTGAGTTACCTATAGCACTAATGCATTGTGGAAGTCCTAATATATTAAAACCATTGATGCAATCACGAATTGTTGCTTCATTTAAGGGGTACTGGTTTAAATAAATTGGTTGCATTATTTTCCAGACTTCAGTGCAAAATTCTTTAAGGATTATGCATACAGATGATCTCGACACTCCGAAAAGGTTGCCCACAGTTCTGTACTCTGCGGATAAGCCAAGTGCGTACACTGCAATGGCAACTCTCTTCTCTAATGAAATTGGTCTACGAAAGTTACTGTTTTGTTTTTTCATACTTTTGACAAAATCGCATAACTCTTTAAAAGTGTCCATTGTCATTCTGAAGTTTTTCTTGAAAAACGATGCATCTCTTTTTGGAATTTCTTCTTCCCAAAAAGTACTTAATCGAAGCTAAAAAATAAGTTTTCAGTTTATATTATACATTTTTTACTTTTATGTTATATATTTTACCTTCATCCATTTTTTTGGCACAGGTTTTACTTGGGCTACTAGTGCATTCATTAACAATTGCATTTTTATTTTTTTGTTTTTTTGCTTTCGTTTCGCTTTATTTATATTACTTGTTAATGTGATTACAATAGCTTTTATTGTTTGTAAAGAATTTAATTGTTCTGCAATAATCACTTTTTTATGTTGATTGTTCATTTTTGTAAGCAAATGTAAATTTAAACAAAATAAATTACTACTTCAAATTTCAAATAAAATTTAAGTTGACAAATCAGCTGTTGAGAAATGAGAACGAATGAAATACAACGAATGTAAACACTTTCAAATGGCCCATTCAAAATGAGCCATTTTCGGCCGATGTAAACGCCATATTAATTTCAAATCCTATAAATCACCAAGACAGGCTGGTATATACCCAATTGAGCTCCAAAATTAGTTGGAGCTAATACACAACCAACTTTTGACCATTTTTAGACATTGTTTCATTTTGAACTATGTTCCGACTAAATGAAGGGATGTTAGAGTAGTTTGTATCCTCAAAGTAAGAAAAACCTCATATCATAACTCCAATGAACTCTGCCCAAAAAGCCCCCCATCTCTCATGTTAAAAGCTCTTGAAAGAATTATATATGTAGAAGTATAGCGTTTTGTAAACCCCAATTAGGGTGAAGGGTGAACAGACGTACCCCCGAAGGGCGAGTACTCTCCTCTGGATCATAGTGTTGAATGAGTTGGTAATAAAACTGAATGCAGAGGGCAGCGAAATTATTGTCAATGCGGATGATATTGCGATAATAGTCGCCATAGAATATGCCACCACTCTTAGGGATATTCTGCAAAATGGTCTTAATATCTTAGATGAATGGAAACAAAAATGTGGTCTTCAATCACATATCACTCAATGGTTCTATATAGCTGTCATTAGGCCCATATTGCTGTATGATATTACGATATGGTGGACAGCTCTTGATAAATTTTCGTACTGCTCGGTACTTAACAGAATTCAGCGAAGAGCTGAACTCTGTATTAGCAAGGCGTTATGCATAATTGCACTAGGTTTAATGCTTCATTTACTGCCAATGGACATTATCAGTAAACAAATGGCAGCAACATCTGCTCTAAGACTAAAAGCTACCTCACAATAGAGAGCCAGTGATTATGGATACGCCTCCATTCTTAATTTTTTCAATTTTGCTCCAAAAAACGTTGACTACATCTCTCCCATTCTCAACTTCGAGAGAAAATTTAATGTCGAATTTTCATTTAGAGGTTTATGGACGTCAGATGGTTCGTCCTTAGGTGAAGGCTTAACCATTTTCACTGATGGATCCAAAATGCATAGTGATGTAGCCAGAGGAGTTTTTTCAGTGGAATTTGATAAATCTTCCTACTTTAGGCTTCCAGATCATTCCATTATCTTTCAGACAGAAGTGATTGCCATTAGTGAAGCTATAACTTGTTTGAATGTGGATGATATATTTGGCAGGAATATATACATACTCTCAGACAGTCAAACTGCTCTAAAGCCCTTGAGTTCAGTCCAATTTATTTCTAGGACGGTTTTTGACTGCTACACATCTCTAAACGAAATGTGGACGCAGCTCAATATTTCTCTAATCTCGAAACACCTAAATAACCTGGGCCAATTGCTAACATCATGGAAATTGTTACTGAGTTCTTTCTGTACTGAAATCTTTATTAGAAGATGGGAACACTCAATAATATGCAGGCTTCTGTATGCAATCTGGTCACTTTCCGATAAAAGGAAATCTAAAATTTCCATTGAGATACCCCGTAGATATATTGGTATTTTAGTAAGTTTACTTACAGGTCACTGTAAACTGGGGAACCATGCTAGAAGATTAAGTCTCCCCTTCAATCAAAATTGTCGCAGCTCTTATCTACTACGTTTTTGTGAAGCTCATGCACGGCGGCAACTTATTACTCTTAGAGCCCCCTTTCTTGAGGACCTTGACCAATTACAGGACCTGGCACTAAATAGTATTTCATGCTTCACAGAAGATTCTAGGTGGTTTTAAACTATGAGTTTTTTCTATATGTATGGTAACACAATGGGCCAATAGGCCTAAGTGGATCCACTAGGGATCGCCGGTATAACCTAACCTAACCTAACCTTGGTGGCAAAATAATATTGATATTGACGAAACTTACTTTCAGATACAGTAATCGCTGCCAAGCAAACTGCTGTTTTTGAAAATAATCGACACTGTAGTTAATAAAAACGGTGAAATTATTTAACTGACTTTCCAAATTCACTACGTACCTATATTAAGAATGTAGCCACTACACAATCTTTGATTGAAGATTGATTCGCCGATCATTTCGCTTAGAAATTTAAATTCATTCAGATTATTCAATTGCATATGTTTGATCATGGAATACCGTTGAAAGCTAAAATTCAATTCGTTTGGCATTCGCAATTTTAATCCACAAATCACAAAGCAGATAATGTTCGTTTTTGGCCTGAACTTGAAAAGTCCATATTTCTCCCATGACCGATTTGACGTTGCATGACGTTGCAATATTAAATTCAAGTGCATACCTCTTATTTAAAATATTGTGTAGACGATCAATTTTTATTTATCTGACTTATAATAGTTTTAAGATTATACAACGCATTTTTGCTTACTTTTTTTACTTTCTTTCATTCTATACAATACTCACGATCTTTAATATCTGCAATGTATACGTAGATACATCGTATCTACGTTGAAGCAATAGGATGCTTCGTAAGCAAACAAAACATGTATGAAATATGAAATATGAAAGTTTGTGCAGCCTTGGCTACTTGTGGATAAACACGATTAGTCATCATTTCTAATTTGACAGGCACGGGTTCTAAGCCTGGCACTTGCAGTCCAAACAAATTATATACGGACTATAAACTAATTAAATAAAATTTGATTATTTTCTAAGACCGCTGATAAAGAGTACTTGACAATACTCGAAACAGCATTGTATGGTCAGCCAAATTTCAATAAATTAAATAAATTTTTGTATTTGTCTTTTCTTTCTTTGCTATTCGAATCCGTCTAACTTTTAAATAGTTTCTTTCGTCATAAAGACACGCCACTATCGGCAAGAAAAAATTAACTTCAAAATATATTACTTCTGAATCATTTTTATTTTTAAAGCTCTTAGAAAATAAAACAAAAATATTTTAATTGGTATTATTCATTATGTTAATTATTATAGATTATATTAGCAGTAGTTATTTAATAATTTAAAATTAAATATTTTTACAGGTACGGACATATAAGAATCTTTACTCAATATGATAATATGCCTTTATTTATATTATTAATACTTACAGAACTAAACATTTCACATAAATATACCAAGAGGCGCGATTAGTTAATTATAGTTAATGCAATGACTATGTTACTGGCATTCTAATATAGATTATGTGTTCTTAAATGACTTATGATTATTTTGTACAAGGAATAATCGTATTAATCGTTATATAATAATTTCGAGTATTTAATAATGATTGAATATAACATATAAATAAAGTACAGCGCATTTGTATGTATGTACTTTGGTACGTACATATGACCACTTTTACTTCCTTAAATGCGATTAAGTACCCATGGTTGGTTCTTGACGAATTTCTGATTTGAGCTTAACGAATTCTTTTGCAACTTCATCATTATTACGCTGGGATAATATACGTAAAATAGTCCAGCCTGTTTCGTCCATTTGAATTCTTCTCTGAAGTGACAGCCAACAAGCTACCGATCCCTTAAAGATAATGAAAATTTCTTATATTAATATTTATTTTATTATGTATGATATTTGCGACAGTTGCAAAGGCAAGACAATAGCATGTGCAAAAATTAAACATGCTGTCTGGTATAGTAGTCAGAATCTTAGGTTTATTGATGGTAAGAATCCTAAACTCATCGATCTAAATAGCCAGAGTTAAGCATACCTCTAGTCTAGGAAGCAAAGAGGGTGGAAATAATTTAAACATATTCACACATTTACAAAAAAATGCAAAATACTATCATATTATGTAAACAAAGTATTTAAATATTTAGTTTATTATTTTAGTTATAAAAGATTGTCTATAAAGGAACATTAAAATTATATCGGAAGACTTGCAAGAAGTTTTACAACTTTAAAATCTTCATTAAAACAATAAAAGCTGATTAATTTTTGCAATTTTAGGATACTCATTATATCGTTACGTTGAATAAAATGTAATGTTATGGTTTAAATTGAAAAAGTAATATCGAAAGTAATGTCGATAATTCCAAAGTTAGTTACCTTTTCAGAAATATCTTTTAGCGGTATAACTGCAACACCCACTAAACGATCCTCTCGTGCAAAGCAATAATCTTTTACGCAGATATGAAGTTCAAAAAATTCCAATTGCTCCTCATTGCCGATGGTACTAGAAGTTAAATGAAAAAATATAATATATAAGTTAAGAAAAAACTTTATTTACAAGCTAAAAGCCTCATTGTATTTTGGTGACCAGTTATTTGATTTGGATTTTGTAGCGAACTTTCGTTTCTTATCCTGTAAATGAGGCCCAATCAAATTTATTTCAACAAAAGGACGAAACATTCCAGATGGTATTTGCCACTTAAGGTCATTGGCAGCCACAACTAAAATTAGATTTTAAACAACCTTCAGCCGATAATAATTTGATTGAATAAATTTACCTTTAACATTGACTTTGTGTTCCCCAGTGCCTGGATGAGAGAATAAATCAATTTGAACTGATATTTCACCAACGCTATCTTCCTGAAACTCTGGATCAACTAGGATTAAAGATAATTTAAATTTTTAAATAAATAACTAATTTAAAAGATAAAGTATGTTATTTACTTTCGTGCACTTGACTGGAGATAAAGGTTTTAATTAATGTATCAGTCATTTGAGTATAAAGACTTAACGCATAACGCAAGCTTTGCAGTTCAGAGGATTTCTCTAAAAATGACTTTTTTAGTCCATTTCCGCCGGCATGGAAATACTGTTTTATTGTATCTAAAGCGACATCTAAAACTGCACATTGTTTTGGTGACAAATTTTTTTCGACTTCTTTAGAAATGTCCATAACACCACTTAAAGCACTCTTAACATCTTGTTTACCAGCCATATGAGTTTTAAAAAGACGACCCATATCTTCGATTTTTGCATTGGAAGCCAAATTTTTAGCATTATCTGTTAAATGCTTAAACATCATCTGGTAATCAAATTTGAAACATGAATATAGATGATCAAATACATAATTTTTACACTCTTACAGTTTTATCAGTCATTGGCGGCAAAACAATTGTCTTTTCCAATATGCGCATCACAATTTTCCATAATTCTTTGAGAAGACGTTTTAAAACGGTTTTTTCACAAGACTGAGCATACAATGTTAATGATCCATCAAGTAAGTCCATTAACGGTCTAAGAACTTCATCTGCTTCTACAGCCACAGCATTTCGTTGTGCAGCTTGATTGCCATTTAAATTACTGCCACCTTTTATCGATAACAATAAATCACCTAACTCACGCACTGATTGAATTATACGTGGTTCAAGACTAAAACAATATACATATATACTATTAAGAAACATATATAACAAATTATTTTCTGCTATTTTGACAAACCTTATTGCAAATTGAGATGCCAAGTCATCCAATGCTGAATTCAAATTTTGCTGCAGCTCTTTCAAAATATTTGCCGCATCTTCTTCTAACCTATCACCACCCATTGATTCAAACATTTTCTCTAATTGCACCCTTAGTTGTTGAATATTGTTCATTAAAATGCAAGCCTAAAATATGAATAATTAATTTAATATAGACAACAGTGTAATTTTGCAAGTGATATACAATTCTTTCGTCCATCATATGTTCTGGAAACTCTCTTTTTACAATGTCAGCATAAGCTATTAGAACTTTTACGATAGTTTTAGCAAAACGTCGCATATACCGCTTCCAAATTTCTGGATCCGGACATTCAAGTTTGCTAACAACATCGAAACATTGAGTCAACTGAGTGAAAACATCGACAACTGAGTTTGAAAACAATGCATGCTCACTGCTCTTTTGGAACTGTTATTTTTAACATACAATAAGAAAAACTTAAATTAATGAATTGTATACATATATATAAATAAACATTAGCAATTTAATTTTGAGGCATTTAATTTGTGTGAATAAATTTATTTGTCTTTAGATTAGAACTCACCCCGTCTTTTTTATCGCGATTAAATGCCCCATGAAGATATTCCAGAGAAACGTCATCATTTTCGTTCAACCACTGCATAACAAATGGTTCGAACCACGCAGGATACTCAGGAACTGCACCTTTGTATGGTGGAACCTCTTTAACATAATTGCTATACAACCATTTAACACGAAAATGTAAATTCATATAAGCAGACGATTTACATAAACGGTGCTGTTCATGCTCTTCCAGTGCGTATTTCATGTCCACAGCGAAAAGACCCCACATGGTTGCAGCAGACAGCTTAAAATTAAAGGTAACTCATTAAATGAAACTGGGAATATAATAACTTATAGCACAAACCTGGCCAATGTTGAGCTCTTGAGGAAATTGATTAAGTACTGATCCATAGCTATTCTTATCTTCATCAATAACTGATACAATTAGTGCTATTAGCTTATGCCAAAAGTCAACGCTATCCAATTTCGGACCATGGTCGTCAGAATCACGTTTTGCTTCGTTTGGATCCACCTATTTTCAAAAACATTGAAAAAGATATTCGAATATCAACTAATCAATATATTGTAAAATCTTCACCTGGAATTCCCGATTGTATAGTTCATAGCAATTTTCGAAAAGGAATTGGTAGGTGGATCTAAGACAAGCCTTGACGCAATCTTTGACGACAGTGCTTGCTCTAGGTGGGCTTGACAACTCTTGCACCTAAATATTAAAAGAGATTTGAAGAAACGTTTCAATATTTACGTAATGCTATTAAGAAAATACACGTCATTTAGTATTTTACCTTCATGCGAAAGAATGTGATACTTGTTAGTAAGTCCACGGTTGATTTTAAATCCATTAGCTTCTCTTGGCTTGATGCGGGGAAGTTGTTTCGATACATTGATAAATCTATACGTAGAGAGTTGTGCAGTTGGTCCAAAAGCCTGACAAATTTCTCTTTCTATTAATAAAAAAGTATAAAATAATGTTAAATTATTCTTTGCTGAACTTTCAGTGCTCTTCACATAGATAGTTAGGTCAAAAATCAATTATTTACTATTGTATGCGTACATATAATATATAATAAAATGTAAGAATACAATCAATTTAAAAAATGAGTTATTTTTTCGATTTTCGGTATAAGTTTTAACATTTTTGTACAGGCCTATTGGTCAATAGGTGTATTCTTTCAAAAGAATGTCGCAAAAGAACAACATAAAATAATGTTGTGAGTCGAAAGACTCAGGTGAATGCATTATATGTTTCTAAGCATGCCTATGATGATGCATAGGCAGCGTCTTTTGCGGCTTGTACAATAGCAGAAGCCAGGGGCAGCTCGTCAGCTTGATGATAGGAAATGCTGATTTTTGGTTTTCTGTTAATATTTGTTAATTCTGTTAAGCTGAAAGTGACACTGAAAATAAATAATTAAAAGTTGCAGTTATATCGAGTGCAATTTGAGTTATTGACGTTTTTGCGAATTACGCAAAAATTATTGAATAATAATTAATTTGAGATAATTGGGGTACCTTGAATTTACGGTATCCAGCATAGGTAAGACTTTTAGAAGTTTTGTTTAAAGAGACAGTAAGCAGTAGTCTAGACGTCAGTAGTAGTCTAACCAGCATTTGAGCAGTTGGACTCTGTTGCGCAGTTGAGCAGTTAAGCTCTGTAGAGCCGTTGGGCTCAGGAGTTGTTTTGTGACGCCTAAATACAACTCGCTTAAGTAAAATTCGAATCGTATTTGTGAAAAACTAAAAAATAGTGAAACTAATTTAAACAAAATTAGTTTCAATATTTAAAGTAATCATTGATAAAGTCGGAAATAATATAAATTTATATTGAATTAAATAAATTTGAATTGTGAAACTATTGTCATACAAATATTTAGTAATTAAGCCTAAGTTAAATTAAAGACTATTATCGTTATTAAACGGTTAATCTGAATCAAAATTAAATTAAACTGATTACTAAATAAATTAAATAAAAATTTAAACTTGGGTTTTATTTAACTGTGGAAAAGATCACAGATCGAATGTGGTAACGTCTGCTACAATCCTTCAAAGAACAGCAATAGCAGCAACAATAAAGACGTTGTGTTTAAAATTAAAAGAGCGTATTCATTTGTTGGGTGGATTGTTGTGGAGACACCAATGGTGTCGATGGCAACTCTAAAAAAACTGGAAATTTTTGTTTTAATATTTGACAGATTTATATATGCAAATAGACAAATACATATATTTGCAAAGCACGTTGTTCAAATTTGAACATGTATCTGCGCGCCAATTACTACTATATCATATTCAGTTATTTGGGTAGTAAATATTTTATTATTTTTCCCCAGAAATTATTATTTTTAACAAGGGTTTTTCAAGGTCTTAAAATATTTCTTTATCAAGGTTCTTTCAGACATTAAAATATAAAATATAACATTACGATTGTTTTTTACGATATGCTTACAAAAGAATAGGCCTAATGTTAAAATATACACAATATATATTTTATTTTTATTGATATTTCATAGGACATATTGATGACATAGGACGAAGAAATAATTCTACAATTCAATAACAATTAAGCTGCAATTGTGTACATATGTTTATACAGGAATTATATATTTATCCTGTTTTTAATTTGTTAAATACACTTGAGTTTAGTTTAATCATCTAGCAAGACATAAGCACAGAAGCATTACCTTCACATTGTATTAAATTAAGCCACGAGCTGTATTTGAAACAAAATGTGTTAGGAAATAAGGAAATAATAAACTTAAATGTTGTTCTTCGAAAATGATCTCTATTTTTAAAACTCTTACTGACATAATAGCTGCGTTTCAGCAAACAATGATCTGGATCATCTTTGCTGAAACGATACGGATCACGTATGAAAATAATTGGCAACGCATGAATTATGTCAGTTGGGTTTGTGAACAAATTTTTTTTGATTTTGCGTGAATAATTTTAGCGCTAAAAAATAAGAGAAAAAATATTAAATAAAAAAACTTTTTATGAAATATAACAAGTTTGCTATTAAAAATAATAGTGACTTTCGTCTGGAAAATTTGACGTTAAATTACAACTTATAAAAACTCTAACAAATAGAAAAAACAAAATCTGTTGAAATGTCTGAAGTAATACATGTAAGTTTTTATTTAGTATTTACTTTAAAACTTAAATTTAAGAATTTTAAAATTCTATAGTAAATTATTGAAAATGGCAGATTTTATAAGAATCGTCGAGCAAAACTGACTCTTCCATTCCCTTTTTAAACACTAGTTCAAGTATATTAAGGTGCTGAGGTGCATCAGCATGGACATAGTGGAAATTTTGTGGAAACGATCAATAATTTTTCCATTGAAGACTTCAGGAAAAACTTTAGACTTCAAAGATGTACTACTAATTATTTATACAAATAAAAATACAATTGCTATTTATTAATTATATTTTATAATTGAATAGATTTGTTTATAAATTCCAATCAGCAAATACAAAATAACCGTGGTGGTCACAATTGAACGAGAGCAATGAAGGAAATTTACATATTTTTGTGGTATACGGCAAATATAAATACTTTTCGCGAATTTGGTATTTGTTTTGGCATACCAAAAGCTTCTGTATGGAGAATAATTGAAAGAACTAGTGTTTAGCTTATATCAATTGCAAAATTTCCGTTCGTGATTGACAGCACACATGTTAAAATAAATCCACCTCACCTTAGCAATTAGGCTTATTTCAAAAGGAAGCATGAATAGACCTTAAACTTGCAGGCAGTTTGCAATGGTTTTTTTTTTTTAAACGTGTATGTTGGAGAGCCTGTTTCCTTATGTATTGTTCTGTTTTAATTAAATAAATGTATTCAACTTAATGTTTATATATTCATTTCAAATTAATTGATTTTCATAAATTATCAAACAACACATTTTTAATAATAATAAAACGTAAATAATTTAAGTAATAATTTTAATTAATTTTAATAATTTTAATTTATAGTAATAGAAATAGTTAAAACATTACTTCAAACAAAGAAATAAATAATAATGACATATTAATTAAATAAGCACATAAAATAAATAATATATAAATAAAATCAATAATAAATAAATATAAATGTATATTTCTTTATAATTTTACTACACCGTTCCATCGCATTGCCAACCTCATTTGCATTAAAATACGTTCCACTTTTATCTTTTACATACATTCTACATTGAACCAGAAAGTGAACCAGATCAATTGCTGGTTCACCCCATTGTTTTTGCACCTATTAGCTGCGTTTCAGCAAACATGATCCGCTCAATTTTACATGCAAAACAAAAACAATGGGGTGAACCAGCAATTGATCTGGTTCAATGTGGAATGTATGTAAAAGGTAAAAGTGGAACGTATTTTAATGAAAATGTGGTTGGCAATGCGATGCAACGGTGCTGTAAAAATATAAACAAATCTACATTAATATTTATTAATTATTGATTTTGTTTATTTATTATTTATTTTATGTATTTATTTATTTAAAATGTCATTATTTTTTATTTCTTTTTTTAAAATAATATTTTAATTATTACTTTAATTAAAATTATTAGTTTAATTATTCACGTTTAATATTATTGAAAGAGTGTTGTTTGATAATTTATTAAAATCAAATATTTGAAATGATTGTATAAAAATTGAGTTGAATTCTTTTATTTAATTAAAACAGAACAATACATAATTTACTTATAGAATATGCTTTATTCTTAACAATTCTTTGCAATTCATTTGTAAATGAATCAATATGGTTAGCATCGAATGAATTCATTATGAACTGCATCCTTCTGTGTACATCATATATTATGCTACATGCATGCGCACATAATTAAATTTGTTATTGAAGGTGTTCTTTGTTGTTCCATAAAATAAAACAATCGACGAAGCCTTGTTATCATACGATCATGACAATCATGGCTTCTATGACAATCCTTGCCTACGAATGCATTACATGCAGAACCGCAGATATGCAGAAAAGAATCGCTGGGAAATTTGTTTTGAAATGATGCTGTACTGTACAGTTGTTATCTACCAAAAACACAGCTGTCACGTAAGGAACCAGGCTCTCCAATATACACGTCTATAAAAAGACTATTTTCAACGCAAATTGCCTGCAAGATTAAGCCATGCCATGCTTGCTTTTGAAATAAGCCTACTTGCTATGGTGTGGGGCATTTATTTTAATATGTGTACTGTCTATGTAACCAATTACGAACGGAAATTTTTACGTAGCTTCCACGTTTGCCATATTAGCAAGCGCGTTTTTTATAAATTAGTGTCCAATTGATATGAGCTGAACATTAGTTCTTTTAATTATTTACCATGCAGAAGCTTTTGGTATGCCAAAACAAATACCAAATTCGCGAAAAGTATTTATATTTGCCATATACCACAAAAATATGTAAATTTCCTTCATTGCTCTCGTTCTACTGTGACCACCACGGTTATTTTGTATTTGCTGATTGGATTTTATTAACAAATCTATTAATATATGAAACATAATTAATATATAGCAATTGTATATTTTATGCGCAAATACCAATCAAATAGTCTTTAACGGAACAATTATTGATCGTTTCCATAAAATTTCCACTATATCCATATTGATGCACTTCAGCCCTTGAGCTTAATACACTTGGACTAGTGTTTAAAAAGAAAATGGAGAAATCAGTTTAGCTCGATAATTCTAATAAAATCTGCAATTTCCATTTATTTACTATAGAATTAAATTTAAGTTTTTAAGTAAATACTAAATAAAAACTTACATTTCGTACTTCAGACATTTCAACAGATTTTATTTATTTTATTTTTTAGATTTAAAAATTTTGTTCACAAATCTCAACTGGCATATTTCATGCGTTGCCAATTATTTTCAAACGTGATCCGTATCGTTTCAGCAAAGATGATTCAGATCATTGAGCTGATCATGTTTGCTGAA